ACAAGATTAACAATTTCATGAAAAAATTTCATAAGATTAACGACGGATGAGAGTAGTTTTTACGGTTTTGACAAATTGGAGTGGTTTTCATTTGATCGCTCCTCTTTATATATATATATATATATATATGTGTGTGTGTGTGTGTGTGTGTGTGTGTGCTCGTCGGTTTATTCAACCTTAGATTTCAACACAAAAATAGAACTCGGCGCAAGTATACACCTCGAACTACTGTCGTCTCGTGACAAGTAATAATGGTAAAATACCGGATATCGTTCCCACAGAGATAGCTTGTAAAGTTATTTCAAAAGTCCAGTTTATAAAAACTAATGTCAGATGGCGAAACGAGGGATTTGATTTATCTAAAATTGGGAAGGTTTGATTAACAATTAAGAAAAATATCAGTCTTAAGAAGAAGCACAGGGTGCAACAGTTGATTAAGACATTAAACAAATGATTCAGTAAAAATGTGACATAGCATTCCTGTCATAATTATCTAAAATCAATAAATGATTTTATATAACTACGACAGTATCAACTATCGGGTCAGACGGCCTCACAAGAGCACACACCGGTCAACGTGCTATCGATACGATATCATTTATGTTAGACGTCGTGAATCCTAGCACAAGACAGTGTTACCATCCTACACCGTAGGAGTATAGCGTTTGTCAGACACTAAAGCTATTTATAGCCTTCTCCTATTACCTCAGGTTTTGAAAGTCAATATATTTTTATACACAAAATTAGTTGTCAATTAATTTTAATGTAATCATCAAATAAATATTAAGCACCTGAAATAAACAGTAGACTATAATGCTAATAAGACACCTTTGCACTTTCACATCGGTTTTGGTCTTAATTTTCCGTTACACCCCAAGCTAAGGCGTTAGCCCATCATCGCTCGGTTTCTTCTCTCGAAAGATGTAAGGACTGAAAAATAAATAACTGAGACGGAAAAGTAAATTGCAGAAAGTAAATTACAAGAAATGGAAATACTAGAATTTAAAGTAATAGAAATTAAATAACAGAAATGTAAATTGCAGTAAAGTAAAGACATAAATGTAAAGGACTGAAATGTAAATGACTGAAATATAAATGACTGAAATATAAATGACTGAAATATAAAGACTGAAATATAAATACTGAAATATAAATACTGAAATGTAAATTATTAATAACTAAATAATATTAATTAATATTAATATAATAATAATGAAAGAAAGTACTTGATGGGATGACTAGTAGTACTTTGATGGGATGAGGAGATGACATATGAAAACCTTGGAAAATGGGGTTGACTTTTGATGAAAACTTGCAAGTCAAGTAACGAAACATGCAAAACAAGTTTCGTTACAAAGACCGAAAGACTACTTGCAAACTCGTAAAAACAGATTATTTAGACTATGTAAATTAGCCGTGAGCCACAAAGGACGAGATCCGATGTAAAGCAACAACGATCGACTAATTCTTAACTCGTAAAAGATAAGAAAACGTAACGTAACTTGGAACAGAAATGAGATGAAGATTAAATATGAGTACTTAAATTAAAACTTGAGAACGAAAACACAACTACAAAAGTTGGTTCTTGAAAAGTCAAACAAAGAAAACCGAAAACTTGGAACCGAAAGCAATATTCTTGGGGATGACTAACACAAAGATCTTAAGGATTAAATGGTAGAAAGTATGAAAAAGTCTCCAAAAGTATGTTTAAAACAAGCCTTAAGCCTTCTTTCTATAGGCTAAGGAAGATTACATAGTGGGTGCCAACTAATAATATAAAAGCTTCTTCAAAACTGGGCTTTGACCGGGCCCAAGGTCGTTGACCACGCCTCCACTATGGATCAGCCCATTTCTCCATGGCCCAAGCAAAATTTCAGCTCTCGGACAGGTACTATAAGACCTTGCCACTCCTGGTCCTGTAGGACTGGCGTAGGACTGGGCCCAAAAATCATCAAAAACCTGTAAAAACAGGGAATTAACATTAGATATATATTACTACTAATATATGAAAAAGACATAAAAAGACTCTATTAAGACACTAATGGGCAAATAAAACAAAGGAAAATGGTTAAGAAAATGATGTAATAAGGTTAATAAAATAACACTTATCAGTGTGTATACGTCAGGTTCAAACGAGAAGTTAAACATTATATGAGAAGATGAGAAGTTTCAATATCATATATAATTACATACGTAATATACAAGCTTAATCGTATATGATTAAACACACCCAAAGAAGTATAATCATATATGATAATGAGACTTCTAGCCTTCTCAAAAAATGTTTAACTTCTTGCATTATCCTTCATCCCCCCCTCTCTCTCTCTCTCTCTCTATATATATATATATATATATATAGAGAGAGAGAGAGAGAGAGAGAGAGAGAGTTGGGTTCTAGTGAGAAGGGACGATATGGTGAGAAGAGTAAAAATAATTTTTCACCCTTGAATCAATCCTAATTGAATGTCAACACAAAGAGGTGCATCGAGATACACCAAATTAGTTCTCTTCTAAAGCGCAATTTATGGGTGGACATGAGATTAAAAGTGATCAACGGTTCAAATATTTATTTACTCTTCTCACTATAATTTTTTTTCACACGATCCTTCGCATATATATATATATATATATATATATATATATATATATATATATATAGGGTCA